GTACGGCGGTAGCACTTACCAAAATCGTGTTGTGGTCGTATCAGTACCTAGTAGCCACGATTTTGTCAAATTTGAAGGGTGTGCCGTGTTATCCTCCGGTCGATTGGTCGTGGAAGGGCGGAAAGTTTTTGCGCGCTGTCTTGAGTTATTCTTTCAAGGAAAATGTGGTCTAAGATCTCAGTTGTACCTACGTTGCTTTTTTGACATATTCGGCATCTGAACCCATGAGTTGAACCCATTAAGGGAATTCTTTGCGAAAAAACAATCAACACATCCCAGTATTTCTGTCACACTGGAACACACCGCACACAGCTTGTCAATTACATTCCTCGACAACCCTTTTTGTGGTACAACCCGATGGTAGCTATACTACAGAGCTTTATTAGAAACCCATTGCGCTCCTATCATTCTACATAACAATCGGCGCACCCCACGGCTGCTAGAAAACCGGTTCTTATTTCACAGATGTGGAAAGCGATTTATCTTCTGGTCCATAACCGTTTATTCATAGTTTAACTAAAATGTTTCTGCGCTTCCATGATAATGGACACCCAGAACACGGAGTAAGGCATTCTGCTTGTGCCGCACCTTCTCGAATTAACATGCGCGCGGGCGGCCGGTGAATACCCCCCGCTCGGGTGGGGGTCAGTTTGATCCCACCGAGATCTCAGGAGCTAGGAAAACTGGAGACACCAAATTCTGAGACACAAAATTCAAATGTCTGCTTTGGCCTGTTCGTGAGCTCTCTAAGGTCAAGGTCAGAGATTACTAGATCATGATCTTCGGGTCAAATAAGGTTAAGCAAGTTCGAACTCAAGGCTGGTCTCCATAACGCCTCTACAACCTAAACAACTGTTCTAAGCAAAAGGTCACATGCTCATTTGAGGTCCTTGACCTCGTTTCACCTTTTGAAGGTCATGGTGACCAGAAACATACAATACTGCTTTGAGTTTTGCATTTGAATAATCGACAAAGATTACTCTATAGAGTTTGTTGCTAAAAAATGCCGACCTGGGTCAGTTTAAGTCAGTGATTTATTCTGACATTCGAGAAGTTCATGAAAAATGCATAATGCGGTTCCTGTTATCAATAAACACAAAATGAGCAATAGGAGAACAGGACGGTTTTGATCTTGGTCTGACCTCCATGCATGAACCTAGGTCAATGGATTTTTTCCATTCTATTGTCGTGTTGCCTAAGTAAGTATGTCAGAGATGTATGGGTCCGTCTAACGCTCAACTGTTGCACCAGATTGCATAATTCCTAGAAATTGATTCCGTTGAATCCACGGCCTGATTTTGACCTGCCGTAGGATAGTGACCTCATACGGCACATCTCAATTGCTGATATCAAACAACCCGCTACTCAATTGTCTACAGCTATGGAAAATTTGGCGCGACTACGCCGCGCCGTTCCGAAACCACTTCGGAAAAACATTCGGGGTCTCAACTTGACCTCCACCTCAGCGCGTGTTTGTTTGACAGTAGGTTTGCGTAGACGATGTAAAAAGTCAAAGCAAACAAATGATATTTATGTGAAGCTCCCTTTTATACACCACGAGCTGCGTAAACAAGTCAGTGCAGCCGTATCATCAAGTGGTATGTACGGCATCTACATCGTAGTGTGGACTAGTGCTCCTATTGTAAAATGCGATCTAGTGCGATCAGTGTTAGAGGCCCCAAAGTGTCCAGCAGGAAATGGAATCTACCATTCATGTGTAGTGGACTGCAGGCAAATGCATCGGGAAAAACGTAAAATACAAGATATCCTGTAACCTATGGTCAGGGATATTTAATGTTGGAAAGAGAAAAGTAGCATTCGTGACCGGTTTAATGAACACTTTAGAGATGCAGGTTTGCGTACAGCGCGGACACCCCTCTAAAACACATGGAAGATCGACAGGCAGCGGTAGAGCACAGCACAACAAACACCAGCTTTAGAATATAAATTTTAGCAACCGCTAAGGTCATTGCGAACCGCAAGATCTCAGTCACCGTACATTCGGAATCTTTGCCTTAGGCTGAACCATCAATTTCACCATGACACGTGGTCTAAATAGCATTTTTAGGCCATGCGCGTTCCTGAGCACAATGCTTGCGGTGGCTGATACGCGTTAACACGCGCCCGGGCGGCCGGATGGATACCCTTTGCCCGGGTGGTGGTCAGTTTGACCCCCCTGAGAACTTAGCAACTAAGAGAGCTAGAAAGACCAAATTTACAAGGTGTGTTGGCCCGTTTGTGAAATATCTAAGGTCAACATTTAATGTTTCTAGGTCATGACCTTCGGGTCAAATGGGGCAAAAATTTGAATTCCAGGTTAGTCTCCAGAGTGCCGCCAGAACCTAGATAACTATTCTTGGCAAAAGGTCACATGTTTATTTAAGGTCAGTGACCTTGTTTGACTTTTTGAATGTCATGGTGACCAAAATTATACGAGATTGCTTTGAGTTTTGCCTTTAAATAAACGAGAAAGATTACGCTCGGCAGTGTGTTCCCAAAAACAAAACGTCGACCTGGGCCGTCGTAGGTCAGTGACCTATTCTGACTTCTGGGACGTCCATGAAAGATGCACAATGCGGCTCTTGTAATCAATATATACAAAATGGGCGCCAGAAACTACCCCATACGGCAGGCTCTAAAATAGCAAAACAGGTAGGTTTTGACCATGGTCTCACCTCCATACCTGAACCTAGGTCAATGGATTTTGTTCATTCTATTGTTGTGTTGCCTAAGAAGATATGTCAGAGATGTATGGCTTCGTCTAACACTCCGTTATTGCATCAGATTGAATGATTCCTTAGAAATTGATTTCGCTTAATCCAGGGCCTGAATTTGACCCGCCGTAGGTTAGTGACCTTATACGGTACATTTCAATTGCTGATATCAAACGATCCACCACTCAATTGTCCACAGCTATGGAAAATTTGGCGCGGTTACGCTGGGCCGTTCGGAAACCATTCCGGAAAAAAACCTTCGGGTGGGAGGTAAATTTGACCCCCGCCCCAGCGCATGTTAAGTAATGTTCTTACCCAATTTTCTGTGTCGGGCCTTCGCTCCTTCCAGCTCAGTTCTTGTGCTGTTATTTGTTTCATTTTTGCAGCCTTTAACGCTGAGCTGTATGTGGACTATGAGGGGCTTGGATGATTTACCATTTTTATCTGCCTTAGTGGCAGTGTCTGCCCAGATTGAGGAAAAAGTTCCTGAATTTTCAAGTGTAATATTTTGTTGAGCCTTTCTGAATCCTGGCCAATCTTGAGTTAAGTTACTCCGCCATTGAAAATGAGCACAACTCGAAATATTGAGTACGGTCAATGTTATCCTTATTCTGCATTATAACGTCGTCCAACCCGCACCTCCTAATATATTTAAGGTTGTTAACCCGGCACGAGGACTTTAAGCTCATGATAGTAAACAATTCAGTAGGTGTGAACCATTAAGGGCGCAGCAGCCGTTACAGCCGTTATTCATTGCTGCCATCGGCACAAGTACCTGCGCCCGATGTCGATGCGGGCGGGAGCATCCGAGGGGAAATAGGTCACCAAGCGGCGTCGTGTCCGCACCGTGTCCGGCCGTATCGACCCCCACCCCCGTGACCCCTCCCCAATCGTGGCACAGCGGTGGGTCTCCAGGTGAATCGATGGTCAACACGGCCGACCGCTGGCCGCCCCGCATGTCGTGTGTGTGGACCGGCGCAAGCGGGCGCCGCTCCGCTGCCGGCACAGGCGGGCGGCATGTTCCCGTCGCCGCTGCTGCTGGCGCTGGTGCTGGCGCTGGCGCTGCACGCGGCGCGGACTCAGTTCGAGCCGGAGCACTCGTTCTTCGAGGCGGGCTCGTTGCTGCGCCGCTCGTACGTGTTGATGGAACATCGGCCGCATGTGATGCTCACCTGCACCGAGCGGACTGTCATCGTGGAGGTGAGCAGTCACACTCGCCCCTGATTATTGCGTCGCGTGTCCGTCCCGTCGCTTTTGTAACCGTCGCTATGTACGTCGTATTTGCCGCCATCTTTGATCATTAGCTTGCACGTAAGCAGTCAGGAAGCGTCAATTTGCAGCTGAGGACTCACTCGCCGTCGGCTGCTTGCACTGTCGTCAGAGCAGCGCCATGACCGTTAACCGCCCGCTCGGCACGTGCCACCGTAACACGTGCGGCCTCGTGACCATGCGCTGTCCTTCCAGGTGGAATATCGGCTGCTGAGGGCGTCGCAGACCAGCGGCGCCACACCGCCTCCCATCGTTTACCGCCTGGCCGACGGCGTCGGCGTCGGCGTCGGCGTCGGAAGCAAAGACGGAGGGGGCCAGCCTGAGGGTCACTGTACGCCGCTTCGGCGCTGCCTCGGCCGACGAGCCTGCACCTTTCTCTTCAGCAACGAGTTCTGCGGCTCGGACCCGCTCCCCGGTCTGCGGAAGGTGGGTGATGGTGGGGGTTGGGGAGGGGAGGGAGCGCCGCCCGTGATGGGCTGGCGGGCGCCGCGGGCTGGACGCTCGGGGTCGGCCCCCGGGCTGGTGAGGTGATGGTGGGGGTTGGGGAGGGGAGGGAGCGTCGTCCGTGATGGACTGGCGAGCGCCGCGGGCTGGACGCTCGGGGTCGGCCCCCGGGCTGGTGAGGTGATGGTGGGGGATGGGGAGGGGAGGGAGCGCCGCCCGTGATGGGCTGGCGGGCGCCGCGGGCTGGACGCTCGGGGTCGGGCCCCGGGCTGGTGGGGGTTGGGGAGGGGAGGGAGCGCCCCCCGTGTGGGCTGGCGGGCGCCGCGGGCTGGACGCTCGGGGTCTGGCCCCCGCGCTGGTGAGGTGAGGCCGTCAGGCGCGGATCGTGACCGCTGCGGAGCGACTGCGGGAAGGGGGTGACATCAGCGACCATGCCCGAAGTCGTCGGACTCTGACAGGAGACGAAGAAGCGTTGACTCGTTAGACATAAGTCGAAGGAAGGCGTTACCTACCAGTGATATTACGCTATACTCGCATTCCCAGGCCTGAAATGCGTCATTTTGTTCTCAGAAAATGGCGGTGACGACGACCTGCTATGATGACACAAAGTACCGCAACGCAAAGGTAAGTTCGGCCCTTCCAGGCAGTGCAACGCATGCATTTTTTAGTTTGCAGGTAGAACCACGTCGATAACAACGCTTACGTTACAAATGCTGTCGCAAAAAAACTCATGAAAAGATCTTTCATCTTGACGGGGATGCTGACAGAGTTGCTGGCCTTTCTTTTCAAATTATTTGTCGTTTACAATGGGCTGCTATCGCCATAATGAGACGATTAGCAGGCCTCTTCGTACCAATGAAAAGGAAACATCGTTAAGTCATAATGAAACTTTGTGCTTAACAAACGTTTTTCTTGTGAGCCAGTTTATGCATATTCAATGTTCAAATGACACCAAATCTCATCAGTAGATCCTTGAATCCTCCTGAAAAGCAGGTGGTACTCTCCCAAAGCTAGGTCTCCAACCTAGATCCCTTAGACTCCGAGGACTGGACGGCTAAATCCAGACGCTTCGAGGTAAAGAACATCAGTAAATGGTACCTGTCTTTCGACTTGCTTGCCAGTCATCGGCTAGATGGCATGTCGAGCGGAAAGACGACGTAGCGATATATCTCGCCTGCTCGTCCGGCAGGTGGTGCACCTGAAATACCGCTCACTGCTGGAGTCGGGCGTGCGGAACTACTCCCGGGTGCAGCTGATGGAGCGTGAGGTGCTCAGCGAGCACGTGTTTGGCCTGACCTGCCCGCAGCACGAGGCCGTGAGAGCAGCGGGGTACCGTGGCCGCTGCGAGCCCGGTCTGTTCGACCCGCGCACGCTCAGGGATCGGGCCGCATTCGTCATGTCAAAGTGAGCTCAACTCCGGTTCGTGGTCTGCTATGTGGTAGTGAGTGTAGGGATAGAAAGTACCTACAAAAATATGCATCTCACAGAAAATCTGGCGGATTTGAATTTCCTTACGGTCAAGTTTTTTTGTGAAAAATACTGCCGCGTGTTCTCGTTGGTAAGCGATGCTGGTGCGTTGTGTTTCGCACAGCCCGTGCTCTAGCGCATCATCGAGGCCACGAAGTCGCCTCACTCAATATTCCCTCACACTGGAATCAATGTAAATTAACTGCAAGAGAATCGGGTCATGTATTTCAGGCCACCCAATGAGTCACGGAGTGCCGGGTTTGAGCGGGCTCGAATGCGTTCCATCGACAGGGTGCACTCCGAGCAGTGCCGTCAGCGGATGAGCCAGGTGCTTTGCGCGCTGGAATACAGTCGAAGTGCGGAGTGCCTGCCGCCGTTCATGTGGAACGGTGATGCCGGCGACGGCGGTCTCAGCTTCCTCATAACGCCGACCGTCGGCAGCCGGCCAGTATGGCAGCCTCCAGCCGCAAGTGAGCACACGAGGGGTAGCCTGAGCACGAGCACGACGCCACTGCGGCACGGGACATCATTGGAGCATGCGGCATGGCCTGAGCATGTGGCATGATCTAAGCACGGAGAGCCGGCTGCAGCGGGGAAGGATGACTTGAGCTGGGGCTAAAGGTCTGGACATGGAGGCGATGGCTTCGTGCAGGTTTGAAAGGTCCCAGCACGGAAAAATAAGTCGAATAGCTTGGGGTTAAAAAAGCTTTGGGCACAACTTGATAGCTCAGGACCACCGACTGCGTGAGCACAGAGAGACGGCTTGAGGACAATGTATGGCGCGAAAACTACTGGTTGCTATGAAGCAGCCAGTTGTTTTTGCGCGGTTATATAGAGCACATTGAATCCAGAGTTGTTGTAAACATTAGAGGCTGTCATTCTAAGAGATGCACAGCAACATTGTCGAAACGGGCACTGGAACAAATCGCTAAACAACGTCTCAATCTGTCTGATATCCTCAGCAACGCAGCAGAGTAGTCCACGGGTGACGCAGGCGCAGGAGGGGACATCTTCGATTCCAGCTTAAAACTAAGGTTTTAGACAGGCAGCTCCAAAGCCAAAGGCAGGAACCAAATAAAGCCCCAGGAGACGGCAGCAGTCGGAGAGTGGCCGCGGGAGTGGACACTTTAACGGCAGCAGTCGGGGAGTGGCCGCGGGAGTGGACACTTTAACGGCAGCAGTCGGGGAGTGGCCGCGGGAGTGGACACCTTAACGGCAGCAGTCGGGGAGTGGCCGCGGGAGTGGACACTTTAACGGCAGCAGTCGGGGAGTGGCCGCGGGAGTGGACACTTTAACGGCAGCAGTCGGGGAGTGGCCGCGGGAGTGGACACCTTAACGGCAGCAGTCGGGGAGTGGCCGCGGGAGTGGACACTTTAACGGCAGCAGTCGGGGAGTGGCCGCGGGAGTGGACACTTTAACGGCAGCAGTCGGGGAGTGGCCGCGGGAGTGGACACCTTAACGGCAGCAGTCGGGGAGTGGCCGCGGGAGTGGACACCTTAACGGCAGCAGTCGGGGAGTGGCCGCGGGAGTGGACACCTTAACGGCAGCAGTCGGGGAGTGGCCGCGGGAGTAGACACCTTAACGGCAGCAGTCGGGGAGTGGCCGCGGGAGTAGACACCTTAACGGCAGCAGTCGGGGAGCGACCACAGGAGTGGACACCTTAACGGCAGCAGTCGGGGAGTGACCGTGGGAGTATACACCTTAACGGCAGCGGTCGGGGAGTGACCGCGGGAGTGGGCACCTTAACGGCAGCAGTCGGGGAGCGACCGCAGGAGTAAACACTTTAACGGCAGCAGGCGGGGAGTGACCGCGGGAGTAGACACCTTAACGGCGGCAGTCGGAGGGTGACCGTGGGAGTAGACACCTTAACGGCAGCAGTCGGAGAGTGGCCGCGGGAGTGGACACCTTGACGGCAGCAGTCGGGGAGTGGCCGCGTGAGTGGACACCTTGACGGCAGCAGTCGGGGAGTGGCCGCGTGAGTGGACACCTTGACGGCAGCAGTCGGGGAGTGACCGCGGGAGTAGACACCTTAACGGCAGCAGTCGGAGAGTGGCCGCGGGAGTGGACACCTTGACGGCAGCAGTCGGAGAGTGGCCGCGGGAGTAGACACCTTGGCGGCAGCAGTCGGGGAGTGGCCGCGGGAGTAGACACCTTGACGGCAGCAGTCGGGGAGTGACCGCGGGAGTAGACACCTTAACGGCAGCAGTCGGGATGTGACCGCGTGAGTGGACACCTTGACGGCAGCAGTCGGGGAGTGGCCGCGGGAGTAGACACCTTAACGGCAGCAGTCGGGGAGTGACCGCGGGAGTGGACACCTTAACGGCAGCAGTCGGGGAGTGACCGCGGGAGTGGACACCTTGACGGCAGCAGTCGGGGAGTGACCGCGGGAGTGGACACCTTAACGGCAGCAGTCGGGGAGTGACCGCGGGAGTGGACACCTTGACGGCAGCAGTCGGGGAGTGACCGCGGGAGTGGACACCTTAACGGCAGCAGTCGGGGAGTGACCGCGGGAGTAGACACCTTAACGGCAGCAGTCGGGAAGTGACCGCGGGAGTAGACACTTCAACGGCAGCAGTCGGGGAGTGACCGCGGGAGTGGACACTTCAACGGCAGCAGTCGGGGAGTGACCGCGGGAGTGGACACGAAAGTGGCGCGGAGGTCACTCTATACTCGCCAGCGCCCGCAGCCGTGGGGCCGCGAGCCAGCATGGGCCTGCCTTCACATAGATGCCACTGTCCGATGATCGGGAGCCTCGGCTTCCTTTGGGCACCGGAGGAGCCCTGCTTTCGTCGAGCTGGGACATCCCTCTGGGCACCGGAGGAGCCCTGCCTTCATCGAGTTGGGACATTCCTCTGGACACCGGAGGAGCCTGCCTTCATCGAGCTGGGACATCCCTCCGGGCACCGGAGGAGCCTGCCTTCATCGAGCTGGGACATCCCTCTGGATACCGGAGCAGCGTTCCCTTCGTTGAGTTCGGGCCCCCCATTGGGCACCGGAGCAGCATTCCCTCACTAAGCTGGCAAAACACCAAAAAATCCTCTTGCGATGGGGCACGAAAGATGTAGAAAAAAGAAGAGAACACCAGGGGTGGAAAAGCCAAACTAAAGTATCGCTTAACATGCATGATGCACACGTGATATCGCTCTTCGCACGTGGGGTGTGTGAGCTGCATTTTTGGCATGATCTCGTTGCATTGTCTACCACTGACCATTCCCCGGGCAATCTAAAGCCTGTTTGTTGGATAATGGGTATTACCCTTCGGTCATGGATAGCTTCTTTTTTTTGCTTGTTCGCTCAGGGAGAGGTTAGACGTTAGAGCACAGCAGCTCGCCGACGAACCGCGAGGCTTTCTTGTCGGGTCGCGGGTCTTTGCGGATGTCCTGAACCTCGGACCGTGTGACCGAGGCGTGTGTACTGATAATCCCACCTCTGCTTTCCAAGCATCCCGGCAATGTAAAAGGTGATGCAGATTGTACTTAATACATGCCTTTTATTTACCTTGATATTATCAATAACACGCTGAACCATATTAATAAGAACATTCTTATTTTATGACATGATTTTAATATTGCTATTTTGTCATTAGCACAAGACAATACCATTTTTTTCAGAATATCCTGGCAATGCCATCGATCTGTTTCAGGCAGCATGCATTGGGATGGCCGATGGGACATAATACGCGTTTAATCTTCGCAAACGAGTTTGGTTTTGTTTTTAATCCGGCAACCCGATGCGAAAACCGTAAGCGGGAATTTTATAAAACGGCTGCGCAAAAGTTCTTCTGGTCATAGTGATCAGATCTCGAAACTGCTTTGATGTACGACCACCTTAGTCCCTGCTCAGTCACAGAACCTCAAGTTAGAACTCTCATTAGAGAACTGGCTGTCGACCGTGAAAAAGGCTGTCGTCACCGGGCACACGTCTTCTATTCGGGCTGTAAATGCTATCAGATGATAAAGGCGCTTCTATTGTAGGCCCATTTGGCCTATTTCTCTTTGTATCGCAAACCCTTCGCCGTTCTCATCGAAAAAACTAGCCCGTGAACCGCTGGGGTGATGGGCATATCTAATTTCTTCGCTTTAACAGCCTTTATCATTAAGTTTAGGAGTGATCGGTCCGAACGCGTCTCCTCTAGGCTGGAGCCGGCTCGAGCCGCTCACAAGAGGGAGATACGTCTCAACATAACCGTGCCTTAATGCGCGCCCCGGTGGCCGGTTGGCCGCTGAGATCTCAGGAACTAAGAGAGCTAGAAATACAAAATTCACGGAGTGTATTAGCCTATACCTGAAATCACTTAGGCCACAGTTTGAGGTCCCTGGGTCATGACCTCCGGCTCAAATAAGGTCAAAGAAGGTCAAACTTAAGGTTGGTCTCCACCGTGCCCCAGAACCTAGATACCTGTTCTAAGCAAAACTTCACGCGCTCGTTCAAGGTCAGTGACCTTATATGATCTTTCAAAGGTCATGGTGACCAAAATCATACAAGACTGTCGTGAGTTTTGCATTTGAAAAAGCGACAAAGATGACACTAGGCAGAATGTTCCGAAAAACAAAACGTTGAACTGGGTCATTTTAGGCCAGTAACCTATTATGACCTTTAAGAAGTCTGTGGAAGATGTATATGGCGGTTCTCCTGATCAATAAATTCGAAATAAGCATCAAAAACTACCTTCTACAGCAAGCCTTAGTGTAATAAAACAGGAGGGTTCAACATTGGTCTGACCTTCATACCTGATCCTAGATTAATAGAATTGGTTCATTCATTTGTTGTGTTGCCTTAGAAAGTACCTCAAAGATGTATGGTCTCGTCTAATACTCCGTTGCCGCATCAGATTGAACGATTCCCCTAGAAATGAACTTCGCTGAATTTATGGTCTGACTTTGACCCTAGATTCAAACTATGCATAATGCACATGCGTATGCATATGCATTCAACGCACTATGCATAGATAATTCAAACATAGATTCCAACTATATGGTCAGTGAACTTACATGGTACATGCAAAGTTTTGATACTAAACGATCCACTATTCAATTGTCTACAGCCATTATACATGTGGCGCGATTACGCCGCGTCGTTCGGAAACAATTTTGGGAAAACCTTTGGGGTTCAAATTGATCCCTACCCGAGCACATGCTAATGTAACTTTGCTCCTTAATAAAACCCCACGGCGCTCCACTCCCAACTCGGCCCGCTATCGATATTCCGCACGTTCGTTCATCAGTCCGCAATACACCGCCGAGCCGCCGGCTCCTCCGAGGCCGGAGCGCTGGAGCTGCCCGCGGTGCAGCCGCCCGAGCAGGCGGAGGGGACTCCGGTACCGGGCTACTGCGGCAAGGTGCCGGCTAACCCCTGCCGTCGCCGCGTGTCAACACTCCCCAAGTTTCAGACGTCGCCGAGGGTGATGAAGACTGAGAGACACATGCGGCCGTTTCGTCTCTCTTGCATGTCCATCCGTTCAGGGAAAACTTTGACATGCACCTTTTTATTTCACTGTTGACAATTGATGGTGTTCTATAGCACTGACTGCAGTATCTGACATTGATCCTAAAAATCATGTTGCATGAATAGATGTTGGACGACGTCATGGGCACATTACCCTAGGCATGATTTCCATACCGCGTCCAGTCCGCGCTGTGTACAGAGACCACTCCGGAACTCCAGTGACCGATGCGGCGGATTAAATTACCCGTAGTTTTCTCCTCTTGTGAATGACTTGTTTAACAATGCTGTTAAATGACGCACTGCTTTTCTCTGTACAATAACGCTGAGCCCACTAATCGTCTTCCAGCGCGGCATCCTTCTCTGGAGCCAGTCACAATAGGTTTCTACCTGCTGGTGCACAGTGGATTTGACGCCGTGGTAAGTCATGGTGCACAGTGGATTTGGCGCCGTGGTAAGTCATGGCTCAGTGGTGTCGAGCGGTCCTGTCGCATTCCAGCAGCCTTAACAGGGATGCTACCAAAGCCTATCCGTCTGCCAATGCGTAATAAGAGAAGCCATGCTGCCCTTTATCTCCGTATAAAGGGCAGCATGCCCAGCCGGCATCACCGGCTAATTGGATGTTCACGTGTCAATGCACGACCCCAACATAAGTCCGGAGGTGTCAGATTACTGAAGCGCGCCGCAACATTTGTGGATGAAATCCGTGCCGCACGGTCGCGGCCTGAGATTAGGCGCAGGTCGTCCGCCCGCAGCAGCACGCTCGCCGATGACTCAGCGGGGGATGTCCGGCGTCGACTGACGATGATACCAGCCGCTGATACCATCGGGGGGCGCTGACCGCCGCCACTGTCCGGTGACGGCTGATGATGATACCAGCCGCTGATACCATCGGGGGCGCTGACCGCCGCCACTGTCCGGTGACGGCTGACGATACTGACACTAGCCGGTGATACCATCGGGGGGCGCTGACCGCCGACACTGTCCGGTGACGACTGACGATACTGACACTAGCCGCTGATACCATCGGGGGCGCTGACCGCCGCCACTGTCCGGTGACGGCTGACGATACTGACACTAGCCGCTGATACCATCGGGGGGCGCTGACCGCCGCCACTGTCCGGTGACGGCTGATGATGATACCAGCCGCTGATACCATCGGGGGCGCTGACCGCCGCCACTGTCCGGTGACGGCTGACGATACTGACACTAGCCGGTGATACCATCGGGGGCGCTGACCGCCGTCACTGTCCGGTGACGACTGACGATACTGACACTAGCCGCTGATACCATCGGGGGCGCTGACCGCCGCCACTGTCCGGTGACGGCTGACGATACTGACACTAGCCGCTGATACCATCGGGGGGCGCTGACCGCCGCCACTGTTCGGTGACGGCTGACGATACTGACACTAGCCGCTGATACCATCGGGGGGCGCTGACCGCCGCCACTGTCCGGTGGCGACTGACGATACTGACACTAGCCGCTGATACCATCGGGGGCGCTGACCGCCGCCACTGTCCGGTGACGGCTGACGATACTGACACTAGCCGCTGATACCATCGGGGGCGCTGACCGCCGCCACTGTCCGGTGACGGCTGACGATACTGACACTAGCCGCTGATACCATCGGGGGGCGCTGACCGCCGCCACTGTCCGGTGACGACTGACGATGATACCAGCCGCTGATACCATCGGGGGCGCTGACCGCCGCCACTGTCCGGTGACGGCTGACGCTACTGACACTAGCCGGTGATACCATCGGGGGCGCTGACCGCCGTCACTGTCCGGTGACGGCTGACGATACTGACACTAGCCGGTGATACCATCGGGGGCGCTGACCGCCGCCACTGTCCGGTGACGGCTGACGATACTGACACTAGCCGCTGATACCATCGGGGGCGCTGACCGCCGTCACTGTCCGGTGACGGCTGACGATACTGACACTAGCCGGTGATACCATCGGGGGCGCTGACCGCCGCCACTGTCCGGTGACGGCTGACGATACTGACACTAGCCGCTGATACCATCGGGGGCGCTGACCGCCGTCACTGTCCGGTGACGACCTCGGCTCCCGCCGCCGGCCCCTGGCTTCCCGCCATCCGCCCTGCCGACCCCAGCGCCCCTCCGTCGGCAGATGGAGCTGCTCGAACGCGTGTATGACCCGGCCCACCTGTATGTGATCCACGTGGATCTGCGGAGCACAGCACTGCGGCGTGAGCTTGAGGCAGCGCTGGCAGAGCGGTACCCGGACCGGCAGCGGCTGCGCCTACTCGAGAAGCACCGCTCCTTCGCTGCCAGCTGGGGCTCCGAACGCATCTTGCGCGCCGAATTAGAGGTGGGCATGGCAAGGATAGTTCGCCAACGCTGCTCCATGAGAAGTGAGAGAGGACCCAGCCGTGAGCCTGATATTCTATGACCGCCTGTAGGGTTTAAAGTACCTCCTGCGGGTTTTATTCGTACCTTCAGGTAATTAATTTCACGCATTTTGGGGAGCCGTTTCGATGATTTCGTTGCGAAGAGCGTTTCGGTGACGGCGTTATAACGTCAGCAGTGTAAGCTTGCTTTGACTTTTGTGCTGCCATGGTGAGCTGTTCGAAGTTTCCTTTCTTATTCTAAAGTTTACCAGCGCAGCTATTCGACTGGTTTAACCACGCTTCTGTCAATGTGCATCGTTCGCCACGTAGTTGTTTCAGATCACCAACGAAAGTCCATCGGGTTAACTTTAGGGGTGCTGAACGCCATTGATACCTGCTACCCATTTGTGCATTTCAGCAATATTACACCACGTGATCTACAACGTGATTTATTGGTAGCGTAACCCACAACATAACATTTCATGCATGCGAATGACCACGGCTATCGATTACAGTTTAAATTTATCTGGCTAAACGACTAGATCCTGAGATAGCGTAGGTACTTTTAACTCGCGAAGTAATCGCGGCCGGCGAAATACCTCAAGCGCTGTCGGGATATAGGTCAGAGGCTGAGCTGGAGTTGGAGGCGAGGCTATGTTAAGTCGGGGTTTCTGCAGGCTGAGCATGACATGATCACATGAGAGCAGCCAGCGGGGGCAGCCGATTGAGACTGAGCTCGCCGGCCTGGTGTGGGGAGGAGCAACCCTCGGTGGGCTCCGACCGTCGGCCACTGGGCCGCGACGCTCTCACGTGCAGGAGATTGAGCTGAACACGACAGGAAACTTCGCCTTTATCCAGGCTTTTTGCGGTTTAGTGCCTGATACCCTTAGCCGGTTCTAAGGTCTTACGGCGGCCCCAACAGGTATCGGACGCTTTGTTGCCTCGCAGCTGAGTGCCTGACACCCCGCAGCTGAGTGCCTGACACCGCGCGGCTGAGTGGCGGACACTCCGCGTGTGAGGACCTGATACTCCGCAGTTAGCCGCTGACAGGTGCTGGCCGCCGTCGGCAGTGTCTGGAAGAGCTGCTCAGGATGGCTCCGTGGGACTTCGCCGTGCCCCTCAGTGGCCTTGACCTGCCGCTGCGGCCGGCGGCCGAGCTGGCTGCGACACTAGCGCCGTACCGCGGCCGAAACCTGCTCCATCATGCCGAGCACAAGTTCATGCGGACGCACGAAGAGAACAACGTGTTTGCCATGTGAGAAGCCGGGTTTTGTTTGGGCTGGTCGATTTAGAACCAAACGCATAGGAACTACAGCGTGGCTGATGACGTGCTGTCTAAATTTGGTTTGTCGTGATGCCTGGGAGAAGACTGGGACACTAGACATTTCATGGGAGGTGCTCAAAAGGGAAATATCCATACATTTGCACATTTGTTATCTATTTAGCTGGCAAACTGTCCCGCGTTACCATCAGACATGCTGGAAATTTGCCTTTCTTAGCTATTCACTGATCGTAATAATGGAATGATGATATGTTTCATATTATTGCCGCTCTCAGGTTTGGCTGTGGCGACTTCGTATTCAACGTCTCACGACCCGGCAACCGTCCACTCCGGTTGAAGATACCTGTTTATGGACAGTAAGTAGTCTGACGCCCGGTGCTGACACATCAGATTTTAGCAACATTAAGAGCCGTCTTTCTGCAGAGCGTCTTAATGTCAGACTTATATAGTTGGGTCGAACAAGAAGCAAACCCAAAGGAGGACTGAAGATAGAGCCAGGACTACTGGCTCTCATAATTGACGGGAGATTGAAATCGTGCATGGTATAGCGAGTCAGCCCGACAGCGAACTAGCAGTCACATCTGCCACGACATGAGCCCTGACAGCACGCCCTCGCCTCCATCAGTGCCACCTGGAAGGCACTGGACCGGCAGTTCGTCGAGTTCGTTATATCTGAGCTACCGTCGTCCCCGCTTGCTCGCTGGAGCCTCCTGCTACGGGTCATCATCATACCGGACGAGCACTTCTTCGCCACGGTGCTTATGAACTCCCGGTACAGGTGAGTAACATTCCGGCCCTGCCAAACGCTGCCAGGTGCGCCGCTCAGTCGGAGAGCTCCGCTTGCGACGCTCTCACAAGTCGAGGGCTTCTGTCAGCTCAGAGTCCGGAGTCCCCCTCCACCTGGGCGACTCCGGACTCACTCGACCGGTCGTTGAGGACAACGCAGCAGCCAAGCACGTGCTTGGTGCACATCATACACCCCTGAAATGCGGGGAAAACGTGATGATTGCATATTTTGCATTAGTGCTAAGCGATATCACTCCGAAGTTATAATTATATCTATAAGTTAACGATAAGTGTTGTTTGGATGTGTTAGCATCATATGCCTGCCTCTTACGTGTGCCTGTCGACCGGATTCGCCGTGTTTTTTGACGATCATTTGCATATCGCTGACGATCACCTCTGCTCATTAAATTGAGCCAATCGGAATGAAATTCAACAGATTGATCACGAGCACGGCAAGCGCCTGTGGTGATGCCCGTGCCCTAATCTTCAGCGAGTTCTCACATATTCAGTGGAGTGAGTAGTCCTACGACTGCGTTGAGTTGTTGCTTGATCAGTGCGTTCCCATAATTGAGAGATGTTCACGAATGCCATGCAAACAAGCAAACAAATAAACCAGGTGGACTCAAATGTGGTCAAGCCTTTATGACTACGACCGGGCGCCGCTTCGCGTGCTCGCTCACGTCCTCACTGCGTGATCACTGTCTTCACGTGTTCACTCATGTACTCACTGCATGCTCATTCTCTTCACGTGCTCACTCACATTCTCTGCGTGCTCACCTTTCACGTGCTCGCTCAGGTACCCACTGCGTGCTCACTCTCTTCATGTCCTCACTCATGTACTCACTGCATGCTCACTCTCTTCTCCTGCTCACTTACGTACTCACTGCGTGCTCACTCTCTTCACCCGCTCACGTACTAGGTCTGAACTGCAGTTACATAAAAACGCACCAGACATGCCTCACAGTGTATGACTACAGGAGTGCATTGGCTGGATGTTTAGCGCCTTCGGCCCCCACGTGGGAGCCCGTGATCGGATCCCGGTTGCACCATAGCCCCTGAACGCCAATATGGCCGCTGTTGTCGCTGGTGCTCTGTAAAACGGTGCGTGACTACGTGTGTCATGTTCCCTCCAAACACCTGTATGACGCATGTGTTAATAAATGACGTTCGATAAACGAGCGACGAACGGCGCTGTGTACCTGGCGCATTACTAATGAAAACGCACCAGATATTTGTTCAGCAATGAATGGCGCAGGCAGTGACAAATGAGCCCCCATAAACGGCTTCGCAGCGGTGGCGGCCGTGCTGTTGAACCCGTGTGCGTGGCACGGCCGCCCCACTCGCTCGCGAGGGGCTCGGGCGACCATCCAATAACACGCGCCCATGCCGCCGTTCGGCAAAGTTGGCTACTCTCGTGATGATATGGTCTCCCCGGGTGCGTGTGCATGCTTTGGCCCGACTAGGCCGGCTCGAAAAGCGCGGGCCCAGCCAAGTTACAAGATGGCGCTATAGGCTCTGGCACTATTTGCAGTGCACCTTAGCTGGATCGCTGAGAATCATCTCTTGCGCTGCTTCAAAAGGTTTTGTCCGAACGCTTTGATTGGGTGGATTTCTGGGATCGGCACCCACGTTAAGCGGTGCTTGTTGCGTTAGCCCTGACCGCACTATCCGACCTGGAAATTTCGAGTCAGCGGAAAAATTTCACGACGAAAGGTTGACGTGTCGCAATGCTCAACGCTGTCCCGCCCTTTGACCTCCTGCCCCAACTTTTAACGCAGCCATTGCCACCGGCCGCAGGCCATCCCAGTCAGAACAAAATAGCGAACGCCTCAAATGACTGGAACCCACCTCGCCATGGATGAGTGAATCACAAGACAGGCTTTCAAGCCAAATGAGCTAACGTGACGAACAGCTACCAGGCCATAGACGGGGGCAGTGGAAGGACAATCGAAAGCAATGGAATTGGCCATCTCTTCTCAGTCAAAGCCTATAGTACCAGTATTCAGTTTGCATATAATTGGGAACGGGGTTTCTGGCCCCGTTCTGGCTCCCTTGGTTTCCACTCCTGCGGCGCACGCACGCACGCACGCACGCACACACGCACGCACGCACGCACAAAGCCCGGCAAGTTCACAGCTCATGTTCACTGCTGACTGACCATGCCAGCAAATTATCTTGTCAGTTGACTCTCATTCCTTGACAGGTTGTTGTCACAGCATTTTTCGCTTGCATGCACCGGTGTGAGCTCCTCATATATCATGCACCGGTGTGAGCTCCTCATATAACTATCATGCACCGGTGTGAGCTCCTCATATAACTATCATGCACCGGTGTGAGCTCCTCATATAACTATCATGCACCGGTGTGAGTTCCTCATATAACTATCATGCACCGGTGTGAGCTCCTCATATAACTATCGTCACGCATGATTGGTTTACCGCTGGCAGCCTTGCGAAATCGGACGGCTTGTGTGAAGTCCAGAGGCCCAACTGGTGCCGCAGGATATCGAAAGTAAGACGGATCGTCGCTTTACCAAATGCCAGACTATCCCTTATGCATTATGTCGTACGTGTGACCATGGGTGGTAAAAGTGCACTTTTTGTTGCCGAACAAAGTTTTGGAGGAAAAATTGTCGCCAGTAGCGTAATGTGATGCCGTATGACAAAACGGTCATTACGTCCATGCCCAGTAGCGTCATGAGCAATTAGCCATCAACAAGTGTCTTCCATCGCTGCAATTTTCAATATCATGCACATAACCAAAATGTTCAGTCATCCACTGCCCTTAACAAATGTTAGGATAAGTGCTGCTGCTAGGAAAGCAGGCACACTTGCGCTAGACTAATGCGGTAGCCCAATCACAACAGGAATTTTCCTCCACCCTCGTGACTTGCCGGGGTCTCACGTTTAAACTCGATCTACGGTTGGATATGCTTTCCTCTGCTGCAAAAAGCAGCGAAGGGCCTCGATAGCCAGGGCAGCAGAATGCGTGGCAGATTTCGAACCGGTGACAAGCAGCACTGGGAATGACGTCAAATATGGGGGCCTTCACGAGGTCATGCCCCCTTATGGAAATCACGTTTGCGCTTCGAGCCCCATCTCAACCGTCACCAAACTATCCGCCATACTCCAAGCATGCTCCAAGCCTGGCGCGACATGTTTTGACTGGTGATAGCCTTTCGCCGTGCCCCAACAAGTAACTTGTATCGAAATTTTTCAATAACCTCAAATCAGGCGACTAGCTCTTTCTGAACAAGTTACTCGCCCTGACAGGAGGGTGGGGGTGGGGGGTGGGGGGAGGACCATGCAACACCCCCTCCCCTACGGTTTTCTGAGGATACCAATGCGGCATATTGCACATTCTTGCTCAAATCTTTGGTACCCTCTGGGGCATCCATTGTACGCGTGCTGACATAAAAAGTGACCCTAGCAATTTTGGTTTCAGAGTAGTGATATTTTTACGGCCATCGCAAGAACAAGGCCGGCGGGTGCGGCGGGGGGCAAGCGACGATCCTGCGGACCGCGCGCGGAGGGTTGACAGCTACATGAACGAAATCATACATTATAAATATAAGCTCCAAACAGATAAAACTGCACGCCATTGCACTCCTGATTAAACAAGGGGCATGCCTCTTCATGTTTCATACCACTTCATTGCATAGTTTCGTGTATACAACTTGCATGCAAAGCTGATGTTTCGTTTTCAGGAGAATTTGCCCTTCGACTTGGTCTAGTGAAGTCAGTTAACAACAGTGGACTTCTTGCCAATCACGAGATCTCGCCAAAGGCAGCCCACTGTTTGTTTTGTTGCGAGGCTTTACCTTTCTAAGTTGGCAAGCGTCAGAAAATCCCCCCCCCCCCCCCTCTCTCCACCAGTCCGCGTTACAAAAACCGGAGAATCAGGGTAAGGGTTAGAATTGTTGGCTGCCATCCTTTTTTATTTATTTTATATATACCAGCATAAAAATCTGCATTTCAGACAACGAAAACATCAGCTGCTACAGCAGAATGACACATTTCCTTACCAGCATCCAAACATTGGTGGAAATTCAACCAGCAAGCCAAAGTTCCCCTTTGCATGCAGGTAAAATGCAGATCTAAGGTTATCTGTGATGTCTACCATGTATAATGCAGGAGTGTCCATTCAAATTAATTTCTGGGGCACTTCCCAATATCTCTGTTGGGTTGGGCCACTTAATGCTGATTCCTCCCCCCTGCCAACATTTCTAGCTGGAAAATTACAAAAGATTTAAGAAAAAACTAACCATAACATAAAAACATCCTTGTTACTCAATTCATTGACCGCGATCCACGGCTTGCTATCTCCCCCTAAACAGGCATAACAAATTTCCTGTCATAACGCCGCCACCACATATTGCGTAGGGCCCCCTCAACGCTCATTCTTCCTTCCCCACAGCCAGCATTCCTAGTTGGAAGATCACAAAAAGATATGAAAAAATGAGCTATGACACAAAACCAACGTAATGTATGCAATGTATGCGATGCCATGTATCCCTAAAATATGTATGTCTCCCAGATTAGCACACTTCTTTACAAACTTGGGGGGAGGGATGGAGCCCTGAACTGAATAAGAAGTATGAACACCCCTTGATTTGAAGATCTATGTGACTGGTAAACATTCTCAATCAGAAGCTAAATGTGTTCGTTTTCAGACATGCCTGTTTGATGATTTCGCCGTTTTCTTTACCCTCAGACTTCGCCACTTTTACCGTAACTTTTTTGTATTTATCGCTCCCTGACGATCGCCACCAGTGTCTAGCCTGTTTATTTGATTGTTTTTTTTTCCGATTTTGACCAATCAAGGAGAAGAAATTATGCACGGCACGTACTTGTTTTGCAGAGGCCACCGGCGTCTTTTTTCAGCTTGAACCAGAAATGAGCCAATCAAAACTTCTTCTTGACCTTGCGTACGACGAACAACAGACATTTACACACATAGTCTTTCCGTGGCATTCCAACGCAAGAGTCAACCTTGCTTTAGGTTTCCTTGATATATAGATAGACCGAACTGATTATTCATATATTCATGGTCTCATCTGATGTTACAACCCCAAAAATGGAGGGCAATGAATGGATTAGATTTTACGTCTTCTGGAACACAGCAGCATTTGCTCAAAGCGTACCTTTTGAGGTCGAGATTGATTTCCAGGACACTGATGGCTGTTTCATTTTTGTCCCGGCCCGCCGGCCTCAGATAAAAACTTCAATAGTGGCCTCGAACCTGGAAAGTTACTCCACCACCCCGTGTGGGATCGAATCCACCCGCCCCCCCCCCCCCCCCCCCCGATGGGAGGGTCAGGCGAGAACAAAACGGCCAAAGGAAGGCTGGTATCACTCGGTGGTCTATCGCAGCCACTGGTCTGTGATGTCAGTCGACCTGGCACCGTTCTTTCCCATTTGGTCCTCCAATCCCACGGCGAAACAGAAGCCTGCTTTACGTCCAGTACGTTCAAGCTGCACTTGCACAACTGACCAGCGTCCGTCGCGCAGTCCCAATCCAATGTTGTGTTTGACTGGCGCGGTTTGTTTAAAAACATGTGATGTCATATATGTACGTAACGTACACAAATTCCAGCGAATTAGTCGTTATCTGTATAAGAACCATACAACAAATGGTAACAACTGCTGATATAAGCGCCTGTCAACCACTGCTGGTTACATCACTCTTCTAACTTACGAAGCGTCTTTCTCATAGCTTCCGTTCATTCCATTGCTTCACCGTGCGTGATGTTCAAACTCGTGCAACCAAAAGAGTTGCGGCCGTGACGTGAGGCGCGAGCTGGTCGGCTCGTCCGGCGCCCGGCTGTCACGTTCCCTCCGGTCCTGAGCGAGGCACTGCTCACGCGACGCGCTCCCTCCGGTCCTGAGCGAGGCACTGCTCACGCGGCGCGCTCCCTCCGGTCCTGAGCGAGGCACTGCTCACGCGGCGCGCTCCCTCCGGTCCTGAGCGAGGCACTGCTCACGCGACGCGCTCCCTCCGGCGCGCTCTCTTCTGTCCCCAGCGAGGTACTGTCCACGCGGCGCGTCCCTCCTATCCCCAGCGAGGCACTGTTCATGCGGCGCGCTCCCTCCATCCCCAGCGAGGTACTGTTCACGCGGCGCGCTCCCTCCTATCCCCAGCGAGGCACTGTTCAAGCCGAGCGCTCCATCCTATCCCCAGCGAGACACTGATAAAGCCGCGAGCTCCCTCCAGTCCCCAGAGAGTCACTGTTCATGCGGCGCGCTCCCTACTGTCCCCAGCGAGGCACTGTTCATGCGGCGCGCTCCCTCCTATCCCCAGCGAGGCACTGCTCATGCGGCGCGCTCCCTCCTATCCCCAGCGAGGCACTGTTCATGCGGCGCGCTCCCTCGTATCCCAGCGAGGTACTGTTCACGCGGCGCGCTCCCTCCTGTCCCCAGAGAGACAACCACTTGCGCTGGCGCGCTCCTCGTATCCCCAGCGAGACACTGTTAACGCTGCGCGTTCCCTGCTGTCCCCAGCGAGATACTGGCTCACGCTCTCTCTTGTTCCCAGCGACACACTGTTTACGCGGTGCGCTCCATCTTGTCCCCCAACGACACACTGTTCAACGCGGCGCGCTTCCTCTCGTCCCCAGCGACACACTGCTTCGGGCCAAGGTGCACCATCCGAAGCGCTTCCAGGGCGAGAACCGGATGGTCTGTGCCGACACCGGGACGTGGTGGAGTTCTGTGGCAAGGTCAGGGAGCCTCGACGCTACCGAGGCCCTCGGGCCAAGGGCAGGCGGAGCACGACGCCCAGGCGGCGGGGTCGCCAGGCACGCACCTGGCCGACTGCACAGTCTCAAACAGGCGCGAGCCTCGCGCCGCTAGAAACGTACCCAGAAGCCATCGCCATCGAGCAATCGGAGCCCGGACAACGAAGCCAGCCGTCAGTTAATTGCATTCCGCGCCGGCATTTCTGCTGGCAGCGTCCGTTAATTAGCACAGAATAGGGTGAATCTAATTCATTTTCAAATTGGCCGTCTCAGAGGCGGCGAAACGGCGCGGACACAAAAGGCTGGGCGTGTGCGTTGCGGTGAGTGTTTGGTCTATTGTGTATGTGTGCCGTGCTGGATGACAGGACACCGCGCATTCAGCAGGTTCAATTGCGTGTCCGCTCCTCCACCAAATTGGTCTCTCCGCCCCGGACTGTCCCTGTAATGGATGCTTGATTCAAGGAATTGGCCAGACTTACATCCATGCAAAACAGTGAAAGAGACAAGCCTTCGGCATCACTGCTTTGTCTTCAACAATTTCGTTTCCATTTTGCATTGGTTTCATGAATTGCGCTGGACTGCCGAGGTCCGTCGAGACGACGAATTAGCCTTAACTGGTGAAGGGTGCTCTGGAAGAAATGGGCCTTCCACACAATGCTATTCGAATGCCTGAGTTGATGGTGGATGTTACGCGGAGATATGCTGATGAGATGATCGGTTTGAGGGACACACACACACACACACACACACACACACACACACACACACACACACACACACACACACACACACACACACACCACACACACACACACACACACACACACACACACACACACACACAACACACACACACACACACACACACACACACACGCACGCACGCACGCGCGCGCACGCGTACGCACGCACGCACGCACGCACGCACGCACGCACCCACACACGCACACACGCACACACACGCAGACGAACACGCAAATGGATATGCACGGAAATAACTGGCAAATGTGTCGGCGGTGGCTGAGTCGCGACGTCTAGTTGAGATGGCCCGGTAATGTAATATGAGATCCTGGAGTTGATTGCTTCACTTTGGTGAAGTGTAGTCAGGTGGGCAGTCGGAAATGCGCCGGAGAGGACACCCTCGGCCCAATCACACGGTGCGCGTACATATATACAAGGAATGAAATAGGGGAGCGTGGAGCTGCTACTCCACAGTTATAGCAGACTCAAGATCCTGGGTTACGCAATGGCCTCTTCCTGCCAGGTGGTGCAGGACCTTTGAGTGGTCAGGGAATCTGCAGGTGGTCAACAGTCCACCGATACGACCAAGGAACCTTCAAGAAAGTCAGAAGTTCACAAGACGATAGGAAATGTTCGGGATTCCATGGTATTGAAACTATCAGGAGCCCATGATGGCGGGAGCCACAGGCGTTACCTCATATACTTTGGGGGGGGGGAGGATGCCCATGCTGACATGAGCCCTCCTTCCTTCACCTTCCCCAATGCATGTGAACAAAAATGGATTATCAGGCCAAATAAATGCAGAATATTTATCTGAAATGTTGGTACCTAAGTAGATCGATATTAAGGTATGCTCATTTTGTACCACATAGTAACCTGTTGGTACCTAACGTGTTGTCATTGCCAGCTCCCTTATTTGTCGGACCAGTTTGTACACGTTGGTAGGGTTTTTCACAAGATAACACAGGAGATCACAACAAAAATCAAATGGACTATATCACATGGTAGCTTTTGAAAGTTCAGCGTGGCGTAGGTATAAGTTAACCAAGGTTTACCCAAAAGTGGCAAGGTTTATTTTTTGAACAGCCGTTACTCTAGTGACATTCAAATGTCAATGCAGTGGCAAAATACAAACAGCGACAGTGGTAGTTGATTTGACAGTGGATAAGAGATTTCACATCCTTCAAATTGCGACCACAAAAATGCAAGAGGTGGGGGCCCGGGTAGTCCAGGATGCGCAGCAGCTGAGTATGATGCCGGATGGTGGATTGCTCTCTCTCTCCTCTCTCCCTCTCTCTCTCTCTCTCTCTCTCTTCTTCTTTATTTCTACAATCTCTCTCTCTCTCTCTCTCTCTCTCTCTCTCAGAAAGTCTCTCTCTCTCTCGCTCTCTCTCTATAGCTTCTTCTCTCTCTCTCTCTCTCTCTCTCTCTCTCCTTCTCTCTCGTCTCCTCGCTCCCTCTCTCTCTATCTCTCTAGGGCGATCTCTTCTCGCTCGGTCTCTCTCTCTCTCCTTCTTATCTCTCTCTTCTCTCTCTTCTCATATCGTCTTAATCCTTCTCTCCCTCTCTCTATCCCTGGCGACTTGTCGACGGTGGACAGTTTCACCGCAACTCTGAACGCGCCCTTGAGCTTTGCAGGCTCCCTGGCTTGCCCACGTGGACGTGGTCCTTGATATTACAGCATAGGGTCCAGGGTGAAAGGTTGGGTGCGTGAGAAGCCATAGCACGACAGCCTTAAGCTGATGTGCATTCCACGAAAATGCTCGACCGACAAGTCCAGCGAAGCTCGCGCTGTGTGCGGTGTCACCCCATCCTGCTGAAGTCTCTACCCTCCCGATCGATCCCGTGAGGTCAGCTCAGGGCCGCTAAGAAGGGTACCAGAGCGGTTGTGACGCAGCGCTGTGGAGCGGTGCTGACAGGACCCCCGTTCTCGTCCTCAAATAACCACCTGAAGCCTCTACCCAGCCCCATCCTGCTGAAGCCTCTACTCTCCCGATCGATCCCGTGAGGTCAGCTCAGGGCCGCTCAGAAGGGCATCAGAGCGGTTGTGACGCAGCGCTCTGGAGCGGTGCTGACAGGACCCCCGTTCCCGTCCTCAGAGAATCATCTTCTGTGGAGGCACGATGTCACGAGTGTGAGATCACTGATGACGGCCATTGTGTTTCAATTATTTTTTCAGTGAAAGGTCATTCAAATGCCGCCGCAGTCTTCACTGTGAGGAAATACACCTGTTGCTGACGAGCAACCTTGAATTAACTCTTGCATTGGCCGCCGTATATCACCGTATCTTCACATAGACACAGTCTGTTGTTTCCCTTTCTTCGACTCCCTCGTAAATCTGATTTTGCCGTATTATTAACCGTGTGGCGCAATCAGGACACCTCGCCCAGTGCCCCGGGTATCCGTTCCTCGGAAAAGGAAGGATTTTAGCACGATTGCGCTCACACGGCTGGGGGTCAGACGGTATACACCACTCTCCACATTTGTGATGGAAGGACTGCTTCCTGGAATACCTTGGGGTGTGCTGAATAACGATGTGTTGTGATCGGGTCGACGGTGAGTTTTCTTAAAGATTTAGTTTAGACATTTCCATCGGATGTGTTTCTTGGATAAGCGCCCACGCTAAGCACTGTCGGTTGCGTCAGTCATGGCCCCACCATCCGATCTTAAGATTCCGGGTGAACGGCAGAGCTTGCGGCGAAAACGTGAAGTGCCGCAATGCTTGGCATGGCCCACCCCACCCTCTGACCTCACCTGAGGGGTACCGCGGCCGCTGCCGACGGCCGCAGACCACCGCAGTCAGGGGTCAATAGCGAGCGCCTAAAGCGACTCGAACCCAACCCACTACGGGTGGATGAATCAGAAGACAGACAATCTAAGCCTCTGACCAACTGAGGCAGCGGGGCGGTAAAGTACGAGTGAGGCTGCGACGGTTTAAAGTATGTTTCCATGGCATACCTTCCACTGTGTTGTATTACAAAAAAGTAGGATGATGTCAAGTAATGGGATCAGCACATTCTGTGCAGTTCGCTCTGGGTTGAATGAAATATTCGGCTGCAGTGTTGATCGATTTTTGCGGGGAAAGCTGACCATATCACACTGCTGCCAGCCGTCGAGTTTTTCAACGCATGCAGTGCTGTCTTGATAACGTCGTGTAGCCACTACCTCCAGGTAAACTGAGGGTTGACTATTTCAACATGTGAACCCTCAGCCAATGACGCCGAAGCACGAAGGGCTCAAGATCTTCCTCGTTTTTATCAAATTCCAACACATATTAAAGCGTTGATGAAGCTATTTCGTTAACATTGGCCGCTCTGGTGACCGATCCTGTCAGCAACCTTGGCCTGCTCTGTCCTCCCGGCCACCGACATGACTAATGAGAAGGTCGTGCATGTTCAGGCCCACTCTTACGTACAGGTCATCCTGGCAGTGTACATTACAATTTGTTCATAGACTCACGTCCGCGCCTTTTTGCGTTCCGGGCACCAGTGACGAAAGAGATACGGACACCATTTTGTTAGTTACAACCGGTCAGCTCGCTAATGTGTTTTTTCCGTAAATCATATTCCATTTTAAGCTTGCCACAAAATCCCAGGCCCACATTGGCTTGGCGTGGGCTTTTCACATCGAGGACGCAAGTCAAGTGGCCGAAATCCAGAAAGAAATAGGTTTGGGGTTAGATTTTTGTCAGCTTTATCACCTCAGTCCTCTCCCTCCACCGACTTAAAATGTGAAACACCTGGAAGAGTCCCTTCTCTTCGTTCTGCCCACTACATCGAAGGAAGACATGGACCGCTTGAGAACGTTATCACTCTCGCATCTCTCTGTGAGTCTTGGCGTCCTGGCGGAGGGCGACACGAACCGTTCTAGAAGTCGTTACAGTTCACACCTCTCTCAGAATCCCGCACTGTGATGCTGGGCGACACAGACCATTTGAGAGAGTTTCCTCGTCTCTCTCAGAGTCCTTCCACCGTGATGAAGGGCGCGGAGACCTGACGAAGTTCCACAGCTCTCGTGTGGGTTCCCTCGCCGTGGAGGGTGACACAGATCATCTGAGAACTTCTTACATCTCCCCACAGGGCCCCGCCACTGTTGCGCCGCGGGATATTGACCACTTGTGGAAGTTCTCTGGCCGTTTCTTCTTCGCCCGGAAGTTCCCGTCCAACATCAGCGATCCAACCAGGGCGAAGTATCGCGCCACATTTGCCAGGACCGTACTACGAGAGCATTCAGCACGTCTTCCCCACCCTGGCTGCCGACGTGAGTACGGTGTAGTGAGCACAGGACACTCGCACAAACATGTGTACGCCCATCAAGAGATCGCTTGTTGCTTGAGCCGATTGTCTAACTGTACAGTACGCTTTGGATCCCTCATGAACTGCTATATGAAATTCATTTGATTTGATCATAGCATCCTGGCATTCTTACCATATTACTGCAGCTTTGACTGGTAATCAATTGGGCATTGCTATCGCTACAGTTGTATCCTAAGAAGACGTAAAGTTATTTATAAATTAAGGTAAACTATAGGTTGGACAACAACAATGATGCATATGAAGAACATGATGGGATCGACGAAATGGAGGCCAGAATGACTGTTGTCGGAGGTTGGTGCATGCATCAGTGTTAAAAATTCGGGGTTTCTGAAACTAGGTGCAGTCGCCAGAGCTAGGTCATTAAGACCCACAATTTCATGTATTCGTGAAATGCTGGTTTCAGGTACATTGCAAATCAGCTTGCAGTGGCTTGAAATAAGTGATGCATCTTCAGATGAAATTATCACCAATCCTATGCAGGTATTTATGGAGTTTCAACTTAGAGGTTGCTGGGGTTCTTACAAGGCTGTTTTCGCCCAAAGCGTGCCCTTTACCCCTGTTCTGGTCAAGCGAGGATCCGTTCTAGTTTTCACCCAGCGGTGATATGCACCTGACAAAGAACGCCTGAACTTTTCCCGTAACAAGTGTTGTTCAACCGCGCTACGTCATCCATACGACGCTGGCCACCAGTCCCTGGAGTGGCCTGCGTGCCGCCCCACTGTGAAATGTGTTCTTAGAACGGGGCAAGACGACGCGGTCACGGTCCTGATAGGGTACGTCAGAGACTGCTTTGGCCGTATATCTGTATATCATGCATATGATTCAAGCGCCATGGCGCAAACGGGATTTGAACCTTGACCCGAAGTGGCAGTCCAATGCGCTAACCACTGGCCATTACACTTACATCATTAATATGACGTCAAATGTCAGACATTCACTACTTTATGTATGTAAGAAAGACTTTGAGCTCCTGGTTTTCAGCATTGTGAGCTGTGAGTTCTTTTTCTGACAATAATCGATTTTCAGCATATCAAGAAGTGCAGGCTTAACGTCATGATTAGATAGCATTGCCTTTTTTGAGACACTCAATATTGCCAATGCTTCCTGATAAGGTCATTTGTCTAGTGCTTCACGGTATATTGAAAGTTGACCTTTGCCAGAATGAGAACTACCGTCTCATAATTAGTCTGGTTATTACTGTTTGCTGGCAAATTGGCAGATACGTGCGGTTGTAGGTCAGCAACAGACAAATATAGACATCGCACTCGCCTTTTGCCGCGCATCCCGAATAATGCGTCACCATTAGCCATCACTCGCACGCGTATTCCAGGTGTACCCAAGACTAGAGCCAATATCTGACTGTTGCGAGATCCTGCACAGGAGAGAAAATCAAGCGGTCTTCTCTTACGCGTATCTTAGACTTCTCAACGGTAAGAGCGCAATACGATGACTATTCCAATCACCGTACACTATCGCTCATTCAACCTTGACATGCCGTTTATTCTGTGTAGCGTTATCACGGTTAGCTCTGGCATATCAATTAATTACACACCAGCTCACGCAAGGAAGTCACAATCAATTCTTTCACCATCCGTCTCAAACTGGAGAATTCTGGGATCCCAGTTTTGCATCGTCCTGCATTTGGCGTCCGTCAAGATGATCCCTGAAAAGATTCCTCAGGCATCTTTTCCAAAAGCGATCCCCAGTAGCCCGACCGTTTGAGACAACGCCTCGTACCGTTCCTGACACTGCCTCTGGCCGCGGTGACGCCTGGTACCGGTCCTGACACCGCCTCTGATCGCATACACGCGCCTGGTACCGGTCCTGACACCGCCTCTGATCGCAGACACGCGCCTGGTACCGGTCCTGACCCCGCCTCATGATCGCAGCACGCGCGGTACCGGTCCTGACACCGCCTCTGATCGCAGACAGCGCCGGTACCGGTCCGTACACTGCCCCTGACTGCGGCAGGTTCCTGGCACCAGCCACGGTACCGCCCCGGCTGCGGCGGGCGCCTGTACCAGTCCTGATACCGCCTCTGGCCGCGGTGGGCGCCTGGTGCGGGTCCTGACCACGCCTCTGGCCGCGGTGGGGCGCCTGGTCCCGATCCTGACACTTCTCTGGCCGCATGCGGGCGCCTGGTACCGGTCTCGTGTGCGCGTGACTCCACCTGCGCTGCTACCCCCGCGGCCACCTGCGCAGCGTGCGAGCCACCACGGACCCCCCCCCGACCGGCGCCACTTCGGCGCGCCTGAACGCGCCCATACCCCACCTACCAGCCGGCGCGGCGTCGCTGCTGGTCGAGCTTTGGTTCCACGCGCCCGAACGCTGGACGGCGGCCGCGTACGAGGCGTGCGACCGCCAGCCGCCCGGGGGCGCTGGTGTTCCCGCTGAACGTGACGGACGCGTACCTCTGACCCGGTCCGACTGCGGGTTGCAGCTCTGGGAGGGTCACACGCTCAGGTGAGGTGGGGTCACACGCTCACGCAGGTGGTCGGGAGAGGCAAGTGACCCGGGATTAGAACCGGAGATGGGACGGCTCACGACACTCGGAGCAGCTGGTCATAGTCTGGATGATGGTGATTCGCGGGAGGATCCGACTAGTGCACGCCGTGTCTGCTGGGAGACTCATACGCTGGGGTCAGAACTGGAGAGGGAGGGCATCCCTCGGCGACAGATGTTAATGTACCACTGGGAGAGACGCAGTTGTCGGAAAAAATCAGCTATCGACGTCCAACTCCATCATAACGGCTTCAGTTCTCGTTGTCAGCGTGTGACGGACGGACATTTCTGAAGCATGAGGGTAATGTTGCTAAAACTGAAGCAACCAGCCGGTGTTTTAGCCTCGACTTGTGCCGCTCTCCAGCCGGCTCTACGGACGCACATAAAACGGCAAATCCGTATGTCGTACTGTGCGTGCAGATGCTCCACGACCAAGGAGGTGCGGTGGAGCAGTCACGCCACGGGCCCCGGCACGCCGCCCTGGGCCCGCTGGGACCTCCACATGAGCACCAACTCACGCTGCCTGCGGCCACCTGGGCCCCGGCCAGCGGACCCTGCAGGTGTATGACGTAAGCGGTCCTGCGCGCCGGCTCGGCTCAGGGAGGCGCGGGACGGGGAGAGTTCTGCCGAGCGCTGATGCCGTTGCGGTCGGGGCGAACATCCGGGGTTTGAGCATCACCGCCAGCTCCGGCCCGATGGCATGGGGATCACCCGAAAAAACGAACGGGAATTTGGTCGGTACGTGATATACGCCAGGACAGTTCTAACCAAGCATGAAAATTTTAACTGACCTAACGCTTCGGCTGCTGTGTGTTGGCTTATCGAGTTCTTGTCTGTGGCGCAGTCGCAATAGGCAAATAACCAGAGTCAGACCGCAATTACGATTTCCTGACTTTCCTGGGACACTTTGCCGGTGGGGTTCCCCGGCGTCAAAAACGGGACAGGATCACCCTCTGACTCTCTTCAACGAAATGCTCAGGTTCGACGGACCACTGACAAAACGACGTTTCAAAAGGACGCTTCAGGGCCAAACTGTGATAGTAAAGCAAAGTGCCCTACATATGCGCGCGCACTGCAAAGTGCACATGCCCTTCACTGGCCGCCTTCAACAGGACGACGCCGCCGAGCCAGCTCGTACGAGTTGGAGCTGCTCTTCGTCAGCTGGTACGTGGAGCCGGAGGGCAGCACTGCCGACTTCTGGCAGGTTGAAGATGCCGCGCCGCTGGCGACCTGGAGCTGGCAGGAGAGCCCTTTGCAACGGTGAGTTCAAAGCCCGTGCCGGGTTTAGTCTGAGGGAGGCGGGGCGAGCTGCACTGACAGGGAGACTTTGAAGTCGACGCGTTTTGAGTTGCAGTCAGACGCGGACCCAGCGTCACAGGCGCAGCCGGAGCTGGTGCCGTACCTGGACAGCTCCAGCCGAGCCCGGCCCAGCGTCACTGATGCAGCTGGAGCTGGTGCCGTACCTGGACAGCTCCAGCCAAGCCCGGACCCAGCGTCACTGATGCAGCCGGAGCTGGGGCCGTACTGGACAGCTCAGCCAGGCCCGGACCCAGCATCACAGGCGCAGCCAGAGCTGGGCCGTACATGGACAGCCAGCCAGGCCCGGACCCAGCGTCACTGATGCAGCCAGAGCTGGTGCCGTACCTGGACAGCTCCAGCCAAGCCCGGACCCAGCGTCACAGGCGCAGCCGGAGCTGGTGCCGTACCTCGTCTCTGGTGCAGCCTGAGCTGGTGACGAACCTGGACAGCCCAGCCAACCGGACCAGGCGGCACCACCTCCCAGCCAGCTGTCTACAGTGACCAGTGCATGTGTGTCGGGATCGGAGTGGAGGTTAAGTTCCGTGCCCTGTCTCCCCCCCCCCCCCGTCGTCCAGTGACTGAAATCCTTAATTAATGCGTTCATACTCGTGCGCGAGGATTTGTGAGGTGATCTAGAATGTTCTTGGATGCATTTCAATGAGGGGATCTCCTGCATGCGATTACTTTTGCTGTGCGACTGGAAGCTGAAAGTTCGTTTCAAGTTCGGAAGCTCGTTTCAAGTACGACAACCTATTTCCCATTTGGTTGGCGGACCCGCGCCGTCCTCTCCCGGGGTGTTTCATGAATACCGAGGCGTGCCGT